ATATATATATATATATATATATATATATATATATATATATATATATATATATATATACAGGTGCTGGAGGAACCATCATGGGAAGACAAGCCCCTACATGGGATGTACCACCGACAAATAACTGAAGTGGCTGATATGAGGAAATCCTACCAATGGCTGGAGAAAGCTGGACTCAAGGACAGCACAGAGGCCCTCATCCTGGCTGCACAGGAACAGGCCCTAAACACCAGAGCAATAGAGGCTCAGATCTACCACACCAGACAAGACCCAAGGTGTAGGTTGTGCAAGGAGGCCTCTGAGACAGTCCAGCACATAACAGTGCCAGTGCATCTTGCCAGTGCAAGATGCTGGCAGGGAAAGCATACATGGAACGACATAACCAAGTGGCGGGCATAGTGTACAGGAACATCTGTGCAGAATATGGACTGGAAGCCCCGAGGTCAAAATGGGGGACACCCCCAAAGGTGGTGGAGAATGACCAAGCTAAGATCCTGTGGGACTTCCAGATCCAGACTTCCAGATCCAGACAGACAAGATGGTAATGGCGAACCAACTGGACATTGTGGTGGTGGATAAAGAACAGAGGAAAGCCGTTGTGGTGGATGTAGCAATACCAAGTGATTGCAGCATCAGGAAAAAGGAGCACGAGAAACTGGAGAAATACCAGGGCCTCAGAGAGGAACTGGAGAAGGCTTAGAAGGTGAAGACCACAGTGGTGCCTGTGGTCATCGGGGCCCTTGGGGCAGTCACCCCCAAACTGGAGCAGTGGCTCAAACAGATCCCAGGAACATCAGACATCTCAGTCCAGAAATGTGCAGTTCTAGGCACAGCCAAGATACTGCGCAGAGCCCTCAAGCTCCCAGGCTTCTGGTAGAGGACCCGAGCTCAGAGGATGAAAGAGACCACCCATGGAGGGTGAGAGGGGAATTTATATATATATACACACATTTTTCTCTTGCTCTCTGACAAATTTAACACATTAACATTAACTTATGTTAATGTGTTAAATTCATGTTAAATCTGAAAATTTTAATGTGTTAATATTTCATAATGCTAATTAATTAAACTACCTATTCTGACCTAAAAGCCTCTCTCCCACAGAGGGTTACTTCGTTCACAGCAGCACGTTGTGGGCTGGACCCCTTGGGAGCTCTGAATGACAGTGAAAGGTGAAAATTTTCCTCAGCATTTTTTCCATAATATATACATACACACAGATATGTTTCTTAAGTTTTTTGTATGCAAAAGCAGTGTGCATGTAATTAATGTCACCTGTTGAATTTCAGCATTTAAACCCTACTGAGCAACACAGCTTTGACATTTCAGTGCCTTCAGCTGTTACCAACACCAATGTATTTTGTTTGGTTCTGTTCCCCAGGCACATGTATTGAAAGAAGACCATCACATTGCTACACAAAATTACTGTTAATAGAATGTTTGTATCTTACTGAATTAAAGACCAAAGTTTTTGGTGTTGAATGTAGAAATTCTGAAATGTTGAAACACTTGCGGTCCATGAGTTGTTTACAAGATTTGTCTCTCCATTCTTCTCCATACAGAGCCGACAGCTTATCAAGAGCATCACGGTATTCTTCACGAGTATAATCATCATTGTCTTGTATTTTTTTATCTCTTTTTTCAATGATACAAAGCAGTGATCCTAATTCATCTTCCCAGTCCTAATAAAAATATAAATTGCTTTTCAAGTGATGTGTAAAATTACAAAGTTTGAATTTTCAAAATACTTTCACGAACATGTTTTTAGCTTACCTCAGGTGAAATGAATTCAATCTCTGCCTCGTATTTTTCATTGTGCATGTTAGCTTCTACTTTAATCATGACTGAGGTGCAGGCTTTGACAGGTCCACAGGGTAAAAGATTCTTCTCAAGGACAGCATTTATCAAAGACGTCTTTCCAGCTCCAGTTTTACCAAACACACCAACCAGCTCCCTCTTTTCCCGCTCCAGATTCTTGATTTTTTTTCTGTAGAAAATTTAGTCATTTTTAGTCAGCTTTAAAGTGTATAAGACAAAATATAGGAAGGTTTAACAAAAACTCAAATGTTAAAAAGAAAAAAAAAGAAAATGCTAACATTTAAGTACTCTGTAAAATTGCATCTCTAGATTTTCAGGAATGTTTTTAATCTTTATTCTTAGTTTATTTCCATCTTAAAATCTACTTACTTCAAGAACTTATTGAGATCACTGTCATCTTGTAACTTGGCAGAGATGTCCCCCATAATGTTTCTCACTTCACTTAATATCTTTGCTTCTCTTTCTATAAATAAAAATATAAGTACAATATAAAAAATTGCATTTTTTAGAATTTCTTAATCTACAGACTCATTGTGACATATGTGCTGTTATGTATGAAACAAAATGAAAAATATTTAGTATACAAATATTCACTGTTAAAATGTTAATTTTTTCAATTAGAAACAGCATTCAGCTTCTATGCACCATAAATCTGGAACAAACTTTAGGAATATGAAAAAACTGATGCAATAGAATCATTGATAACCCACAATAAAAAGACATGAAAAGTTGAGCTATAATTTAACTATACCAATATTATTATTTTTATGTTGGTACAATGTGTATAAAAACAAATACCTGTTGACGAATTTGTCTCACACTTCCTTTTTGCTGATGGTTGTCCTTTGTTGCCCAACTGTTGGCCAGATTTTCGTTTTCCTTGTTCTAAAAAACAAAAAGTTACTCGTATTGATTTATTATTAGCCGTTTTATGTCAATGTACATGAAAAGATTTTGACTAAGATCTTGTATTTCTCACCTGTGCCACTTGTAGAAGGTAAAACCTGAAGATGAACAGAAAAGTTTGACTAAACTTAAAAATGCTTTTCCATTATAAAATAACTTAAAAGTTCAAAATGTTTATTTTGTTGCTGTGGCATTTTCATTAAACTGATTGTACTGATTATACATTTTCCAAATAGACAAACAAAGCTATACTCTTCAACAAAATCACAATACACATTTATGATCTTATAATACACACACAAATATATACCTCAGTCATACCAGTTTCTTCTTCACCTTTCTGGTGACCCTGCAAATAAAATAACCATAGTAAAAAGCTTTTTTTAATTGAACACTAAAGCTAAGTAGCCATATCACAGATGTTAGGATAAAATACTTCACTTTAAACTAAAATAAGAATATGTTTAAGTTACATGTGTTGGAAAATGATTTGGGGTTTGTTCTGCCTAGTAAAACATTTTTCCAAATCTGTTCAGTCTTTATTATCAATGGGATATTTTATCAATAATAATAATAATAATAATAATAATAATAATAATAATATGTAAAAGCATATATCCACACTAGTGAAAGTTTTTTTTTAAAGCACAGGACATACCTTTAACCGTTTGAGTAAATTTTTGAATTTTAACTTTGGTCCCATTTTTGGAATCAACTTTTCGATGTCTGCATCCTGAAGCATATAAAAAGTTTCTGTATCAATCCCTTCATCTGTAATCAAAGAACATCTCATTAGAAATCAGTCATGCCAATATTTGAACAGTTTGTCCCTTTGTCCTCCGGGAGACGCTATGTGTCCTTAAAAAGCAGAATAAAGTGACTTTTTACTACAAGCACTTAAATGCCATATCCATGGTCACATTTATCTTTGAGTCCAAAACATTATTATTGTAATATATTTAACAGGCATTTGTGAATCCATGTCTTTTTAACTTTCTTGTGACATTATCCTATGATGACAAAAGTAACAGTGTAATACATTACCTTTAAATATTTCAATCAAGTCGCTCAGACCAGCCTGGGCCAGTGTGTCACGAACAAAGTCATCCATGACCAAGAACAGAGACTGGAAGATAAATCATAAAATCATAATGATATATTTTATGTATGCATGTATTGTTTCACATAGGCATTTAATTTTTTAAATTTGATTAAAAAGAAACTCGCCTAGAATGAATGAAATTATGGCTTCAGGCTTCAGATGAAGAAGAGAAAAATTGTCTCAAAGCCGTTTCACAAAAGTCAAGTTGATTCTTCAAAGTTTGACATTCAAAATGGTGAACAGCAAGGAAATGAGAAACAGGAAGGTGTGGTTTGGTTGACAAAAAGAGGAGCAGCAATGGAAAACAGCTAGAGGCGTCCACACTGTAAAACAAACTGAGTTTAGCCAATTAATTGGTTCAGAAATATTCTAGCAGATATTAAAACTGTATGAAATGTGGCAATTGCAGTGTCTATCATTACATTTTTAAATATTACCACCTGAGATCTTGGCCCCAGGACTATTCAACTTCCAATATCTACAAAAAGGCCACGCCAGGTCGGGACAACAAAGAGAGGTGGATCATAATGTTTAAAAAAGAGAATTTAATAATTTATTTTTTTCCAAAAGTTTAAAATAGGCCTACAACAATAGAATATGTATGTTAAAGACAGTGTACAAACTTCACAAAATACATACTGCACATCAGCTCTTCAGCGGCAAGTTGTTTTCAAACCCAATTAATAACTAAACAAAAAGAACCATGCAGAAAACAAAAAACAAAATACTGCAACCCAACCAAAGAAAACATGCAAAGCAAACGAAAAGCAAGACGAGCAAAGCACTGAACAAACTAAACCAAATCATGCAAGCAATTGACAAATTAAACCTACATGCAAACAAAGAAAAAAAAAGTACAAATTGTAAATAAACGTACTGAAAAATAAGGGGACTCACCATGAACGGTTGAACCCTGGCCAAAAATAAATTAATTAATTGGGTAAATGACACCTGCGACAGACTGGCGACCTGTCCAGGATGTACCCCACCTCTCGCCCGGAACGTTAGCTGGAGATAGGCACCAGCACCCCTCCCGACCCCACTGAGGGACAAGGGTGTTCAGAAAATGGATGGATGGATGGTAAATGACACCCAGCTGAAAAGGCATGAAGCAAAAGTAAAGACAAAACAACGGCGTTGGCGTGGCCGTGCTCCCCTTGCGCCACAGACAATTAGGCCAGGTACGCGCACCAGTAAGCGGCAGGAGGAGGGAGGGGGAAAACCACACAACAGTCCACCGCCAAGTCCCGAACACCTCAGGATCTAAAAATAAAATTTAAGGTGAACTATGGCACTGAGCCCAACAAGCTGACAATGAACCCACCTACCTCGGTTAAGAGCTCCACGCCCACGACGCGTGCCTGATCACACGCACTCCCAGAGAGCAAAACGGGAGCACCAGAACAACCTCAATCCTGAACCCAAAGGAAGCACAATCACCACAAACTAATCTAAAATCCAACAGAAGGAAAATCACAAAACTAACCTGAAGACCTTTACTTGATGCTTGAGGAAAGACAGGATCATACAAGCTCACAACGCCATCTCCACAGCTCAAAACAATTGTATGTGAGTGCGCACCCCACACACCTGGCTTTAAAGGGTACGTTGGTGCCGCCCACCACTCACCTTAAAGGTGAATCCGCACCAACATACCACAGAAAGATGGACACAAATTTAAATTATCTGGTCTAAAAATTAAAAATAAAAAAATAAATAAATCAATAAAAGATGAAAACAAAAACATTTCATGACAAGTTCTTAATTTTTACTAAGTCCATACATTTAGAGACACATTTATTCAGTTTGGGTTCAAGATTAAGTCTATAACTATTTTTCTATAAAAGTTTTGAGTTCTTTGCAACATTATCAGGTTTTCTAATATCTATCTTTTACTGCTATTTATGTTTTTAATAGTTTGGTAAGTCCTACTATTTTATTGATAATCCTATTTCAATTCCAAAATTCCTAGTTGTTATTTCATTATTCCTCACTCCTCCCTCATTTACTTAATTTGTCTGATGTTTTAATCTCTTTCATTTCTTCATCTGCTCATTACTTGGCACTATAAAAAGTGTTCTTGATCACTCTCTGGTTCGCCATCAGAACCACTCGTATATCTGTTTCCTGTTGGGACTTGTCAAGATGAGTTACAACCAGAATTAAAACTGACAAGTGAATTTCTCAAAGCAATTAGTACAAACTAGTTTAGTTGTAGTTCATTCCTCAAAAAAACAAGAATAAATGAATATTTTGAGAAAGTCCCAAGGCAGAGGGACTGTTGCGGTGTGTCTGTTGGATCGATGGCATGACTGGGCTTTCTGTCGAAGTTTGGAGTTCTGTTTGTCAGGGATGTAACAAGAACAAAGATTACACTGTACTCACAATGAAAGAAGAATTTGTTTTATTCATGGTAGAGATAATAAATAGCACTGCCCAAAAAGAAAGGAAAACTGAAAAAAAATTAATATAATTGTGGAAGCAGCTCAACTATATCTTAAAATTAAGAAAGGAGAGAAGTCAATCTTCTCAACTTCATTCATACATTCCAGAAATTTGGTTTAAGCCTCAACTAGATTTTATAATCCAAGTGTATACAGCGATAAGAAATCACAGTAAGAAGAGACAAGGTGGGGTAGTATCAACCTATGTGCAAAATATTTGGGAAAGAATTATGAAGAAATCTATAATATTGACAGATTTGTGTGTAATGACCCAAACAATGGGGTGATGACTTTTAGTTCTACAAGGAATTCCTCATTCATTAAATTTTACTTTTACGGACATGACATAAGTTATCAATCGATCAATCAATCAATCAATCAATCAATCAAATTTTATTTGTGTAGCACATTTCAGCAGCAAGGCATTTCAAGGTGCTTTACATAATTAAAGAAGAAATAAAAACAGTATGTGACATTAATAAATAGATGAAAAGTAAAGATAAAAACATTAAAAAAACATTAAAAAACATAAGAAACAAAAACAAAACACACTTTTATTAAGGAATTTAAGAGCCTGTCGTCGCCGTACTCCGCCAAGTTATGCCAGTTATCAAGCAGCAGAGACTTGATGCATGTCCAAACATATTTACAGCGTGTGGGAAGGAAGCAGAAACTGCTACTTGGAGGTGGAAATAATAGTAGTGAACATTTTGATTCTGTGTAGAGAAATTCACCAAAACAATTGAGAAAAACTAACATCCAGCCAAAGGGATGTTTTGCTCTGCAGAATGTCTTTCACATGCATTGTTGTAGAGTCAGACCACAACATCTCTGTAATTTTGTCTATAAATGTATTTGTGATTTTGTCAGATGTACCAGAGCTACTGACGTTTGGAAGAAGATGAAACTAGACTGAATAGTGGTAAAGTGACTGTAAATGAAATTAGTTTGTGGTCACAGATGGGCATTTCTAATGCTGTACAGCCAGAAAGCGTTAAAGCAGAGCAGCAGACAAGATCCAGAATGTGACCTTGGCTGTGTGTAGAAAAGTCAACATATTGCTGCATTCCAAAATCATCCAACAAATATTTAAAGTCGCGTGTCAGAGTCTTGCTGAATTTGTCCATGTGAATGTTGAAATCACCCACTACGANTTAAAACCATGTTTGGGATTTGTGAAACTTTTTTGTGAAACTTTTTCCTGAAAAATGCAATGGCCTAACAGCAGCCAGAGTGGAAAAATATATTCCTGTTCTGTGCAATTTTCTGGTGTTAGTTGTTAAATTTTGCACAAAATGACCAGATAAAAGATGTACAATAATACCAGTTTAAACTTTGAACTGTCTGCAAAAGACAGTGCTCTGCAACATTAAAACATGAATAGAACTGCAACAATATCAATCATAACTCTTCTCTTCAGTGTTTCTGTCAGTTTCTGGTGGTGCAGCTCTGTGCTGCCTTCAGGAGAATGGGACATAAGAGCACCATCCATAAAATTTACCCCACATGGCATTTCCTGTGCAAACCAGAGCTTTCAGTGGAAAAGCAAAAGTTCCAGATCCTTTAAATGTCATACAAATATGGGACAGAAACATGGATTATATCTATTGATCTATAGATTAATAGTTTGGCAGAAACTACAGAGTTCTTCATCAAATCGTAATGAGTCAGACTGAAAGTGTCATGGAGTCATCAGCCTCATGACATTAACACTGACATGAAAAATAATATTTAAGAAATAAATATATCAATAAATAAGTGATAAGTTTAATTGTTGTTATTTTCTGTAAAATATATTTCTTCTTAGTACTTGATGTGTTCCCAAAAGATCCCATGGCATTTGAACAATATTATTTTACCTTTTATCTAAAAACAGTGCCTGCTTATTCTTGCCATATAGTCCTATGTATTAATTATTGTTCGAAAGGTCTTGGCATACAAGTTTATTCCTCTGTATTTAGTTTCTTAGTTAATTCTTGCATTTTGTTCTTCGATGATTTCCATTTAGTTTCCTTTGATTAGTATTATCCGCTCTTGGCTTATTGTTATGTCCTCCTTAGTTTCTTTCCTGTTGCTAGTTTGTATTGACGCTCACCACCAGTAATCTTCATTCATCATGCTAATTCACCCGCTGCACCGCCCAATCATCATGTGTTTCACCTGATTTGACACTCGTATTGATTTTTCACTATTCACCGCCGGATTCTCTGATCCTGATTCACATCTATAGTTTGTTGCTCCGTTCTATGTCCCGCCTCTCCTGTTTCAGAGTTTTGCGCAACGTGCGTGTTTTTTTGTTTGTTTGTTTTTTAACCACATACGGTGCGGAGCGGTCGGGGAGCTTATTGACTGACGTAAACCTTTCAAAACAACGGAAAAAATCCTGGTAGTCTGATGATTAAAATGCATATGTGCTGTGGTAGTACCGTTTCATACAGGTGTTCGGTTTATCTGTGCTACCCTTAAATCCGTCCTATCTTTTGGTAATGCGCATGCGCATATCGATGGTATGTCACATAGCCTACTGTTTACTCAGCAGATTTCTTGTAAATACGTCCTACCTGTTACGGTAAATTTTATTTAATTTATTTTATACCTGGCTTTCATTAAGCTGCTCTATTACGTCATGTTTTTAGTTTACATGACAGCAGCTTGTAAATATATTTATAAATGGCTTTAGCTTGCCATCTGCAATGTCTTACTGTAAACAAGTCATTGTTTGGCAGTTAATCAGGACAAAATACGTTGTTTTGTGGCTATTTTGTCCCTATATTTTAAAATATTTTAGGTAAGATAAGGTAATTTTATTTATATAGCACATTTTCAGCAACAAGGCAATTCAAAGTGCTTTACATGAGTTAAAAGGAAATACAAACAAAATAAACCAGGGTTGCTAAGTATCTAATTCCATTTCTAAATAGTGAATACTCTACAGTTT